GGCCTCCAAGAGGCTCCCAGGAGGCTCCCAGGAGGCCCCAAGAGTGCCCCAAGAGGCTCCCAATAAGCCACCTCCTCCTCCTCCTCCTCCTCCTCCTCCTCCTCCTCCTCCTCCTCCTCCTCCTAGGGCTTCCACAGCGGCTGGGGAAACAAGTAGTACGATAGCTTGGCCGAGCTCTGGCCGCAATGTTCGGCCACAGAGGCGCTTCCAAAAGGCAGGGGGCGGCGGTGATTCGCTGTAGGCGTCTTCGATCCGCCGCCCCCTGTGGCCTGCCACAGAAGTGCACGGCGTGCTGCACGTCTGGTTGGCGTTTGTCCTTTCCCCAATGGGGTCTCGGTCGATCGCGCCGGCCACCCGGAAAGGCGGGGAAGGCGGGGGAATCCGGAAAACTCGCCTCCTGGATGGCCAAGATGGTCCCAATATGGCCTCCAAGATGCCTCCCAGACGGTGAGAGAGCCGAAAGTGGTCCCAAGACGCCTCCGAGACGAGCTGAGAAGCCCCCAAGATAACCCAAGATGCCCTCCGCATGGCCAAGAGGCCCCCAAGACGCCCAAGATGAGACGCACATTGACATACTAGTACTATATGTCCTCCTTGGAGGCGCACATATAGTATTAGTATGTTGGGGTGACGCCGACAAGAGGGTTCGGACCCAGGAGGCCAAAATCATTGATTCATCATTTTTGCTTTTCGATGCGTTTAGCGATCTCAAGAGGCCCGCAAGACTGCCCAAAAGCCCCAGGACGGCCCAAGAAGCCGCCAAGACGGCCCCAAGACGGCCACAAGACGGCCCCATAGACCTTCAAGACGGCCCTAAAGCACCAAAGGGGACCCATAAATGCCCAGAGAGGGACCCAAGACGGCCTGCGAAAGCCAAGAGGTCCCTGAAAGGCCCCCAGAAGCCCTCAAGAAATTAGAGGCCCCCAAGAAGCCCCAAGAGGCGCCCCAAGAGGCCCCAGAAGGCCCCCAAGAGGCTCCCAGGAGGCCCCCAGGAGGCCCCAAGAAGGCCTCAAGAACCCTCCTCAGTTTCCTCCCCTTCCTCCCCTTCCTTTCCTTCCTCCTCCTCCTCCTCCTCCTCCTCCTCCTCCTCCTCCTCCTCCTCCTCCCCGTAGCCGTTCTGCGCTCAAGTGTTGAGTTTTGCGGACGCGTTTCCTCAGAGTGGATCGCGATCGCGGGCCAGAGTGTTACGGTCGGGAGGCCGCTCCAACTTTTCTCACGATTACTTCTTTCCAAAGATGTACCAGTGATCCAACGGCCAGTGGAGCAGCAAACCGCCGTTGCGTGGTGGAGACTGGCCTCCTCTGGCTGATGGTGCTGCTGGCCGTCGTGCGTCTCTCCATCCTGGGCCTCAAGTGCCTTAGCCCTCGAGACATGGAGGAGGCGCAGGAGGGGCACAGGCATGCAGCAAGTGTTCTTGTCGTCGCAACCATGCCTCCGCTGCTTTGTTTGTAAGCACTGCAAGCCTCCTCGAGAATACCACGTCGCGACCATGGCATACTCTGGACATGGTGATACATAGCCGCCCCGTGGGAACTTCGGCCATGGCGGCGAGGGCAAAGGAGGTCAGACGGGTTCGAATAATCAAGCCATCATCAAGCAGGTTGATTTGGGCGAAAGGCTGATTCTCAAGTCAGCACGGGCGAGTACCAGGAATCTTGGATGCCAAACGGAGACCACCACCAACCATGTGTACCTAAACATGCGAGGGTCAACAAAGCTTTCCACGAGTTGCGCATTGCTGAACAGAAACTCACCACAGCTGCCACCCTCATCGTGAGAAACCCCTCGACGAACAGCGGAAAGCGGTGGCACTGGCGAGCGAGAAACCGTCCCGATGCCAAGTTGGTCGATTACATGGCATCACATACGGCATCGGCTCACAACAGAGCCCAAGACCACCATCAAGCAGACCCTGGATAGCACTACTAAGGACATCGTTGCCTCGGTGACATGCTTTCGCGTGATGTTGGTTATACTCTGCCCGTTGAAGAAAAACAGCCAGCTGATGATCTTGGTACTCATACCAGTCAGGGTCACTGGGACACCACGCTGAAGGCGTTTGCGGATGCGGCCACCCGCATTGAGACGGCCAAGTCCGACCACGCGTCGATGCCCAAACGTTTAGCTGGCAAACCATGTGGAAGTAATTGACGGATCTGACATGCCTGTCCCAGGCACCCGTGATCCTGGCCCGCCTGCCGCTGCTCCTGACAGCCGTTCACCCTCTTCTGACTCACCACCTGTGGAAGGGTGAGCGGGTGGAGTGGGCTCGGGGGCGGGGGTGGGCGGGAAGTCACCAACGAGGCAAGCGAGAGAGGAGTCTGCGCGCATTTGATACTTCTCTGCTGCTTCTGGTTCTAAACAATTAACGTAACAAGGAAACGGCAGTGTCGCAAGGTTTCGGTCTCCTCACGCCTCCTCTCAACACATCGCTTCCCTGCGATGTTGCTCGCGATGTGTTTGTTTGCCACTTTTCGAACGAATTGTTTCCAACCATCCTGGGGTGTTGGGTCTCGTTTGAAAAGACAGCGCCCCGCGTTCCTTCCCCTCCTTTCCTCCTCGTCCCCCTCATCCATTCCCATCCCTGCCTCTGCCTTCCGCAACAACCAACTGTGTCAGCAAACCCCTCACACGCTTCGTGGCCCGATGGGGAGCTCCACCCCAGGCCCAAACGGTGCCGCCCGCAAGCGTCACCGCCCCCCATGCTGGCACACCCCTCGCACGTTTCGTGGCCTCCCAGGGAGCTCCACCGAACACCCAAATGGTGCCGCCCGCATTTGCCCCCGCCACCAATTTCGGTACACCTCTCACTCGCTTCATTGCCCCATAGGGAGCCCCACCCAAAGGCCACATGGTGCCGGCCGCATGCGTCCCCGCCACCCATTGTCGGCACACCGCTCACACGCTTCGTGGCCCCACAGGGAGCCCCTACCCAGGGCGCAAATGGTGCTGCCCGCATGCGTCCCACCACTCATTCCAGCACACCCTTCACACGCTTCGTGGCCCCATAGGGAGCTGCCGCCCGCATGCGTCGCCGCCACAGATTTCGGTTCGCACGTTTCGCGGCCCCACAAAGAGCTGCGCCCAAGGCCCACATGTCGCCGCCCGCACGCGTCCCCGTCACCAATTTCGAGACACACACACACACACACACACACCACGATTCCTGGCCCCATAGGGAGCCCCATCTAGGGCGCAAATGGCGCCGCCCGCATGCGTCCCCGCCACCAATGCCGGCAGACTGTCACACGTTCCGTGGCGCACTGGGGGCCCCCACCCAAGGCCCCACGCGGTGCCGCCCGCATGCGTCCCAGCAGCTCATCCTGGCACACCTCCCACACGCTTCGCGCGTGGCCCCGTAGAGCTCCACCCAGGGCCCAAATGGTGCCGCCTGCATGCGTCCCCGCCACACATGTCGGCCCACCCATCACACGCTGGGCACAAATTTTCCCGCCCGCACGCGTCCCCGCCACCCATTTCGGCGCACCCCTCAAACGCTTCGTGGCCTCATAGGGAGACTGTGGCCGGGATTGTGGTAGCGACCGTGGCCAGGTCGTTCTGTCCTGTTTGGGGCAGCAGCAGCAGCCTCCAGAGGGGTGTGTCAGCGTCGGGGAGGGCGACCTGCCCCCCTGCTGGCAGCGGTAACAGTTACATGGTGGCTGGCTGCCGCTGGCCTAGATCACGCACGAAGTTAGCCAGCTTTACGGCCCGCGGGATCGGTTCTCCTCACACTTCCTGGTCGGCTCTCCAGCACAAGCGCCTCCAAAGGCAGTGGGCGGCGGTGACTCGCCGCAGGCGTCTTCGATCCGCCGTCCCACAGATTTAGTAACAATAAATTAGAACAACCCCAACCCTTTGGGAGGGAACCTAAGTTACAGGGCGAAAGGCATTATGGGTAGGGGAGCCCGATGTGCATACATATAGCTATATATACATATATTTATACTCATATATATATATATATATATATATATATATATATATATATACATCTACGTATAGATGTGCATACATGTGTGTGTATGTCAGACCGGCCAAAGTCGCCCTAAGTTGCGACAAGCTAGCCCGAGCGAGCACCAGGAGGCACTCAAAAGGGCCTCAAAAGGCCTGACGAGAACCCCAAGACCCCAGATGGCCCCTGCCTTGTGCTCCCCCAATGGTTTCCCCAATGGAAGGAGGAACAGGCAATCCAGTAGCGTACCTGATTTTCCGTTCAACAACTCATTGAACAAATATGTCCAACAGGCAGTGGGCGCCGGCGACTCGCCGTAGGCGCCCTCGATGGGAGAAGACAAGAAAGCGGGATGATACGCGAAAAAAATAGTTCACAAGCAGAGGCAAGGACCAGCTAGTCAAGTGATCAATTGATATGGGGCCTTGGTATGGTCGAAGCAGTGTCTTCGAGACCCTCCGTGTACATGATGGAATTCCCCGACGTACCAAGAGCAACTGATTCGCAGATCCAACTGTAGCATCTCGCTGTGACAGAACACGCGTGGAGGAGGAAACAGGGGCAGGGTTCTAAGACAGAAGGTCTCCAGACACAAGTTTTAGATGTTCGGGACAGTTAACATGGGTGCCCCAGACATCAAAGCCCACTGGACCACTGAGAAAGTCTAAACAACTGGCCTCCCGCCTGGAGTCCACCAACCATCTTCAACAACCACTTGCTCGAGTTCGAAATCGCTAGAGCCTGGAACAGGAAGCACCAAAATTCGAACTGAACGTCAATGATGTAGCTTGAGGCTGCGTTCCTCGCCCCGTCAACACTGCTTGCCGCCAAAGGCTCTAAAGGCTACTCCATAGCGTGTCCCCGTCACTCCGGGACGCTCCAGCGACGTGTCACCACAGCGCCACTCGAAGCTCGCCGTCGAGAGCGGTCTGTACAGGCGCAGAGAGAAGGAGCCCGCACTCACAGCCAGCAGACACGCCGAGACCAGAAGGGCCCCGCTCGTCGGGGCCGCCGTGTGGGCCTGGCCTGCCCGAGCCAGCTCGAGGCCCTATGGCGCCCTCCTCGCGCTGCCATGAAGAACCTCCACCTCGAGGCTGCCCGACAGCCTTCCCAACGCGACGCCGGCAACGTCGCCCGTGGGCAGGGTGAACCTCGAGAGCAGCATGTCGGACCCTGGCCCGGAAGCCATCCCATCGGCGGCGCAGACGCCCGCTGCACTGACAGTCTAACACAAATCGGCCCCAACTTTTGCACAAGGTTCGTACGAGAGCGGCGCCCATGCACCGTGCCATGTCTGGGCTCCCTTCAGGCGCCGCTCCACCGCGGTACGGTGGCATAGTAGGTCGGCCCTGAAGGCCAAGACACCATGCACCGTACCACTCCTGGGTCGAGGATCGACGACGCCTCGGGAGAAGCCAATGCGGCACGGTGCACACAAGCCATCCGTGGCCGTTGTTGGCATCCACCAGGCCCGCGCCAATCACTCCAGAGGCCCAGGCTCAGGAAGACCGCTGCATGCTTTTGCTCAAAACGCTGGAGGTGTGGGTCCGCTCCCATTTCCCCGGCCCCGTCGTGCGACTGTTTTCCCAATGTGGCTAGTCCCCCTCTTTCCTTGACCGGAGGGGCTTGCCCCTCCCCCACCCCCCTCTGTTCGGGAAAGGGCCTCCTCTGGGGTCTGGACCGAGGTTTCGCGAGGGGGGAAGCGTGCAAGATGCCCTGGACCGGTCGTTTACTGATAAGGGGCGATGAATGAGAGGGGGAGAAACGTGCACCTTTCTTAACCCTTTTGGACCCAAGGGGACCCCTTCAGGGGCCGTTGAGCGCACAAAAGGTGCACCTCTCCTCTCCAGCCCCCCGTGTATCGCACCCCCATTTCCAGACGCCCGACTTTGATGGTTTCTGGATGGCTGCGGGTGGCCCCAGATGTCCTAAAAGGAGGCGCGGTATCGTCGAAGGCGGCCAGAAATGGCCTCCGACATGCTTCCATCAGGCTACCAGATCGCCAGAAGACGACTCGAGGTGGTCCCGGAGCCTATTCTCGCCGTCGGACTTCCGTCTGGCCTCTTGAGGACCAAAGATGGCCCAACAATAATCCAAAAAGACCCAAACTAATGTCCAAGACGGCCGGAAACATAGCCCCAAGATGATCAAACAAAGGCCCCAATGACTGCCACTTCTTTACGCAAGGCCGCGAATGAGTGTAACGGTGAGGTCAGTCCTTGTGGGCTGGGATCCGACATGACCGCGCGCAGAACCTTTCGCCACACAGGGCGTGTTCCAAGCAGTCTGCGGCTGGGGCTGTCAGGTAGTCCCAGGTCGTCGTCTCGGTCTCCAGAAAGATCGTCTCCACGCTCAGACCGTCCCTCGAGACGCCGAATGGATCCTTGAAGATCTCAAGCAGCGCCACCATGGATAGGTAGAACTGTGCGGTGCAGATCGCGGTCAGGGTCGGAATTGTGACATTGTGCTCGAGCACTACCCTGCGGTCATCGAGGTAATCTAGATTCCAGAAGGGGATGGTATAGACCCACGCGACAACAAGGGTGTACATAAGCCCTTCGAAAGACATCGGGGCTCTCAACTCACAGGCGTCGTGCAGCGCCCCCATCGTGCCGCGGAGTGCACACAGCTTGTCAAGCATAAGGGTCCGCACTTGTTCGTCCTCCACATGGTGCGAGATCCAGGTAGAAGCCCACTTTAGAGGTGCCTTCCGCGCGTGCGCGCACTCACGCAAGATATCCTTCTCTGACTCTTCCAAGAGACCCACGTCTACTAGATCTTCAAACGTAACTAATCGGAAGTCTGCTGAGAGTGGCCTGTAGCACAAGACCCAGCTCAGCATGAGAAACCTGTAGACGTTCCACTTGGCTTCTAGCCACTTTTCCTGCTTTGAGGCGTCCCTAGCTTGCGGGCAATCATTCACAGCCGAGTGACCACCGAGGATAAGGGCGATATCGTGTGTTCTGCCCTGCATACTCCTGCAGATGTCGATCACATTCCACCACCAACTCACTCTGCCAAGAGCGTAGAACGAGAACAAGAAGCCCACTGAAACCCGAAGTGCGCCTGAAAAGCGCTTAAATTCCTCCAATGTGGCCCTCAGGACTTGGTATTGAAGCTTGTCAACAAATGCAGGGGAGACACGTACCGCGGTATAGAAGACCGACATGAAGAAACCAATGCGCACGCTGTGGGTGAGCGACTGCTGCAGGACGCTACTCTTCATTATCTCTCTCAAGAGGTGGCCCAGACGTGGGGCAAAAGGGAAGTAGTTCTGCAACGGTGCCGAAATCATCCGCTGCCTGTTCCCCCGGAGGCCCTTGGAGAACTCCGCCAGCGTCACCCTGCACAGCAAGAACTGAGGCTTCTGTGGCTGCCGAAGCGGCTCCTCGGCACCCCCAGCGAAGTGCCATGCCAGTCCGAACACCACGAGAGGAGACACCAGCCCGAAGAATCGCCCGAATCCCCAGTCCTCGGCGCACCACAAGTAGGGACAGTCGGCGTGAGAAAAGATCCACTTGCTGCAGATCAAGGGTGACCGGGGGCCGTCCGCGGAGCCCAGCATCGGCTCGTCTGTCTTGTCGCACCAGCCGCAGACGTTGTTCATCCGGGCGAGGGTGTGGCGCAGGCAGAAGCAGTTCTTGACCTGCATGCACATCTCCCCCTGATCCTTTCAGAGCGGGCGAAAGGGGTGGAGAGCAGGGGGACAGGTCGGCGAGTCAGCTGCAAGCAGCTGGATGTGCCAGGCGACTCTCGGCGCCGAGAGGCGCCAGCGCATCGAGGAGCTCGCTGGGCGGCGGAGCCGAGACCAGCTGCAGTCAGCAGATTGCGCAACCCCCCTTCTCCCAATCCACCCCCCTGCGTCCGCCCCCGATCCTTCCAGTAGTCACTGTCATGGTCCACGTGCTCGTCGACCTGGCCGGAGCTACCCTGGATCCAGCGGAGGGCGACCCCCCCCGGGAACAGACGAGTAGGAGTCCCGAAGCGGTACCCCCCCTCCCTGGCCTTCCAGCACTGCAGTGCAGTCGTGACCTTGGTAGTGTGATGGCATCTCGCCCCTCTTCCTACTCAGCGGCGTCGCCAATGCTGGATTCACAGGTATGTGCGCCGTCCTGGCTGGGCCAACCCTTGGACCAGGAGCCGTGCCTGCGCCGTCCCTGCTGGGCCAAGGAGGTCCACACGCCCAATACTGGGCCCGAGGGAGAACCTGGCCAGCAAACCCGGCCAGCATCGGTGACGGTGCGCCCCCACTGCCCTCGCGCCGCCACCCTTGAGAAGGCAGCAACTCTGCCTGGCCCAGGCCGCGACGACGCGATTCTGCATGGAAGCGGAACCCGTCGCTGAAGAAGCCACGCGCATTACAGTCAATCCGTATCATGAGGACCCACGATAAGGATGCAAGTGCCTTGGAAGGCCACGCCGACGCGCCGACGCTTTGCAAGCGGGGCGCGGCCAGCGAAAGCGGCCAAGGCTGGGCCGAAGGGGAACGATTCAAGGGTAACCCTGGAACGTCGCTCATCCTGCAATCCATGTTTGCATGTCCCCAATATCTGAGCATCGTTTATCCGATCCCTAACCCCAGCGGCGTGGCCTGGGCACCACTGGCCGATTTACCCCCCTAGATGGGGATATAGGCCGTTTCCTTCGGGTTTTGAATGGTGTATCCGCAACTAGGGTGCTGAGATGTTGGGGGTCTGGATGAAGATCGGCTTGAGTCCTTTGCCCCAGGCTGTGAGTAGCGGCACCGGTGTTGCTCATCGCCTGCGCCCTCGAGGGGCGCTAAAACTCGGTAACGGTGCCCAGAGCAAAGATCTCTGGAGGAGGGGCCCCCGAGGGCCGCACAACCTCGCGCGCGGTTAAACGATATTGAATATCTACGGGGTCCCCGGAGTCTCCGCCCTTCCCCCGGGGCGGGCTTCTATCCCGAGCCGCGCTGACGGTCCCCCGGGGCCCCGCGAGGGCGCCCGAAGGCCGAAGACTGCCGAGAGCCTTCCGTGGTTGTCTTTCTCGACGCGAGCATGCGGTTTGGTCGCGGCCATCGTGCAGCAGTGTGCGCGCTTCCTCGAGCGGATGCCGTCCAAGCTGCTGCGCCCTCCCCGCCCTCCCAGAGGGCGCCTCTGCGAGCAGCGGGCCCTGCTCGAGCAGCCGCGGCTCCTCGTCGTCACCCTCGCGCGCCCGCAGCCCCTGCCATCAAGGAACAGGGACGGCAGAAATGTGGGAGCAAAAACGTGACCAATGACACGCCGCCGTGGGAAAGCCATCTGCGCTGCGCGCAGTGCTAGAAAAATAAACTGGTCGCACGCTAGATGGCTCCTAACAGCAGCGTGTCATCGATACTCTTTCTGGACCAGAAAACAAACGACACAACTTCGAATCTGAATGAAGACTAGCAAATTCATAACTGCTAAAACGGTCTCCCCAGAAGAACCAACAAATTCCCGGAATCAAGCTCAGCGCACTAAATAGTAAACGGGCTGCTTCCCGGAAGGAACAAAAAAATCCCGGAGATCTCTTTTAGCAGCCACGGGATTGCCAGCCTTCGCCCGGCTTCTGAACCACCCCACCTACGGCCCCGCAGGGCTTAGCGTAGACCAGGAAAACCAGCGTGGGTTGTTACGCTGTATATGCTCCGACCCCCGATGAGCCGTAGCCCAACATGGAGGGCGGCAGGTGGGCTGGTGCCGTTTGTCAGTTGGCCGATTTTCCTTTCCGAACAGGCATGGAACGTCAGAAAATCCGCGGGGACTTCTTGGATCGGCGCTGGACCCTCCTGGCGGAGGCTCCGGCGCGCCACCACTGGCACGCGAAGAGGGGCGTCCAGCGCCGATCCATGCGAGGCGGGAAATCATACACAAACACCGCATGGGGAAACTATGTCCTGGAACCCTAGCTTGCCATCGCTCGGACGCCCATTCCCCATGCATTTGTCGGTTTCGTGCGTGATTTGTGTTGTCGGACGATGCAGGATGCTCCTCGCCGTGAAGAAGTGCACACGTCCGAGCGATGCCAAGCTAGGGGGCGGTGGACATGGATACACACACACATATATGTATATATGTGTATGTGTATATATATATATATGGGCACCCTGAGGCACAGATATGTCCATACCCACCGACTGCCGAGGTCCCCAAAGCTCGATGCCCCAGGCAGTGATTAGACAAATGTCCGCCTCGGACCACTGGCGCCGCCCCTGGCGCGCCAGGAGGGGAGTCCAGGTCCGACCTGAGAAATCCGCGCGGACCCTCCGAACGTTCGCGGGTGAAAACATATCCTGCTCCACGGCCTCGCAGGCGGCGCCCTTGGGTCGCGACGAGGCGCTTCTTCGCGGATGCCCCGCGCGGGACGTATTAATGTGACCGCGTGATCCACAGGATCGCGCCCCGAATCCAGACCGCCAGGGCGTGGAGTATGCATACTCCACGCCCGTGAAAAGTGAAAAGTGATCGTCTCTTTGCTCCGACTGCTCTTTGTTTCGGCGGTGGACAAACCTCCCTTTAGCAAACCTCCCCTTAGTGAAAACGGCCTGGGACCGAAACCGACGGACCTGGACCCGCAAAATTGACGGCCGCGACGCCCTCTCGCGAACCGAGAACGGCCAATTCCTTAATCGACGCGTCAGGGTAGGAGGTCTGTCCACCCCCGATTGTTCGAGAACAAGCCACTTATGAGCAGAAACTTTCGGAGCTCCACGCGGATCTCTTGGATCGGCACTGGGCCCCTCTCCCTCGCGCGCGGTGCGCGCCAGGGGTGGCGCCGGAGGCGCCGCGAGGGGGGCCAAGCGCCAATGCAAGAGGTCCGAGCGGACCTCCAAGTAATTCTGTGCATGTCGACGTGTTTCTGCTTCGAAACCTTGCGCGATGGTACATGGCGGCGACCTTACGCATGGAGAAAAAGGCGTGGAGAAGAAGATGCGCAAGCGCGACCTTACGTGGCAGGCTCATGCGCGAATGCCGGCACGACATCGATCCCACTCATCTGGAGAAGCCAGAGGATACCTGCTGCTCCCCAGACCTCTCCTGGGTTGCCTTCCGACCAGAACCTCGAATCGACTCCAGCCGCGGCGACGAGGAGCCTCTCCGAGAGGGCCCAGAGGAGGCGAAGACGAGGCAAAGGTAAAGGGTATCCGTATCGGTAACTTTCCCTCCTCTCAGATGTAGAAGCCTCCTAGATGGTCGGAGTAGATGGGGTCGGAGAATCGCGCCGCATCGCCGACACATCGTCGATACATCGGCGATGCATCGGCGAGGCACCGGCGACGTCGACGTGACAAAAATCGGGCCACACCTCGAGCGGCATCGGCGATGCATCGGCGATGCGGCGCAGTCCTCAGACCCCATCTACTTCGACCCCATCTAGGAGGCCTAGAATTTTCTTCCATCGTTCACGGTATCTCTGCTCCGATTGGTTTCTGCTCGACCTGCCACGGCGAGGCGCCAACCCGCCACGCCAGCAGCGCCAAGGCCGCCGCGAGCGCCCGCGCGCCGCGCGCCGCGGCCATGTGCGCGCAGCCCAGGGCTGCCGCGCACCGGCTGCGCCGGAAGGACGGGCCGCGAGCGCCCGCGCGCCACCGGGCGCGCGGGTGGCCGCCGGGGCTCCCCTCCGAGCCCTGTCGGTGCTCGGCGCCTATTCCTCCTTCGCTGCCTCCTCCTGGCCCTCCTCGTCTCTTGCTCCTCGCCATCAGCATCCTCATCATCCTCATCATCCGCATCATCATCATCATCATCATCATCATCATCATCATCATCATCATCATCATCATCATCATCATCATCATCATCATCATCATCATCATCAGCATCAGCATCATCAGCATGATCATCTGCATCATCAACAGCATCATCACCATCACCATCACCATCACCATCACCATCACCATCAGCATCAGCATCAGCATCAGCATCAGCATCATCAGCAGCATCATCACCATCACCATCACCATCACATTCACCATCACCATCAGCAGCAGCATCAGCATTCGCATCATGATCATCATCATCATCACCATCATCACAATCATGATCAGCATCATCAGCAGCTTCATCATAAGCATCATCATCATCATCCTCATCCCCATCCTAAAAATCATGATCATAATCTGCATCATCATCAACATCATCATCATCATCATCGTCATCATCAGCATCATCGTCACCACCACCATCATCATCAGCATCATCATCATCAGCAGCATCATCATAATCGTCATCATCACCATCATCATCATCATCAGCATCAGCATCATCAGCAGCATTATCACCATCGCCATCACCATCACCATCAGCAGCAGCAGCGTCAGCATCAGCGTCAGGATCATCATCATCATCATCATCATCATCATCATCATCATCATCATCATCATCATCATCATCATCATCCTCATCGTCATCGTCATCGTCATCACCATCACCATCATCATCATCATCAGCAGCGTCATGATCATCACCAGTCATCATCATCACCACCACCACCACCACCATCGTCATCATCATCATCATCATCATCATCATCATCATCATCATCATCAAGCCAAAGGGTGGACCCTGTTTATCCGTCTTGGAGCTCAGCTGGTGGCGCTTCAGCTGGAACGTGAGCCTGCCTCATTGTGAGCGTATGAGGTGCAAATTCTGACGTCGGTATGCCGTGGAGCCACTGTTGCGCCATGGCGTCTTCTGGTGGTGGGCATACTATCGGGATCCTGGGGCTAGGTGGAGGTGGGTGAGTCGGGCTTGTGATCGTACGGGCGGTTTGCTGCTGGATGGTGTTGGTGTTGTGCACTAGTGCTGGCTGTTGTGGTGCTTCGGTGTCTGCCGGTTGGCTGTGATTGGTTAGCGTGTGATGGTGGGCTTGTTGTATTTGGCTGGTTGGTGCCTGTTGGGTGGTGGTGCTGTCGGGCGCGGGCCACGGCGTCCATGGCTTGTACTGTGTGGCAGTGGGTAATAGTTGGTGTCGTTGTTGGAAGTGGGGCTCGTTGATATGTGTGTCTCTTGGAGTGGGCGTCGTTTTGTTCGTAAGTTGGGTTGCAAATCTGCTGCAGAACAGAGCCATTGTGAGACAATGAGCATCGCCTACTTAACCCCCTTGTGCGACCTCGCCATCGGGTTCTGCATTAGCGTAACGAAGCGCCTGTGGGTGAAGTTGACTGTCAGTCTGACCTCCTCGTTGGACCTGTAAAGGTTTGCGAAGACAGACATACCGCTGCCGATTCGCAGACGTAATCGGTCGTTCGGCAATGGCTTCCATGGAGGCAGGTGGTTGTTTGCAGGTGTTGCGTCTTAGAGCTGAAAGAACTTTGTCTGCTCTGTCGGTGGCAACATGAAGGTGGAGATTAGTGTCACTTGTGGGTCAGGCTTCAGAGGTGGGTGGGAAGGCGTTGGTTGAGGTTGTTGTGTACGAACGGTTCGTTGCTGTACTTGTCTATGTAGATGTGCCACCCTGGAAATAGAAGATGGTCGCTAGGGAAGCGGTAGATGTAGGTGTTGGTCTGCGCGTGGTACTATACGTTACGGTACAATGCCATTGGTGTTCGTCGTAGTCGTGCTCATCAGTGTCCTCGGCGGTATACGCTGTCCACCCTTCTGGACCATGCATGTCGTGATTGCCGTGTGGTGGCAGCGAGGTAAAAAAGAATTGCGTCTTCGTGGTCCTGTGGTCATCGCTCCTCCTCCTCCTCCTCCTCCTCCTCCTCCTCCTCCTCCTCTCCTCCTCCACCTCCTCATCCTCCTCCTACTTTCCTCCGTCGCCCACCCCTACCCCCTCTCCGCATGCTCCGCCACGCACGACGGCACGACCCCTCATCCGCTCGGACGGGGCACGCTGCCCGGCCTGGTAGGCCAGAGTCTCCGCGTCGTTCTTCGCCGCCACCGTGTCCTTCTTCCTGCCGCCCCAGAAGCAAGCGGCGGAGGGGCGGATTGCACGCGAGCGTCGGCAGGCCAGGCCTCTGCACCGCCCGTGCGATGAGCCTCCAGGACCGGAGCTGGACGAGGACAGTTTTCGTACGCGTTCGTCGGTTCTCGGAGGCTTTCCAGCCTCGGGGTGCTCTCCAGCGGTGCTTCGGCCACGCACGCATCGGCATCCACAGCTGCTGGTCTGGGTCAGTCGGGCGCACGCTGACATGGATTGCGGATCCGCGGATCTGGCGCGTGGGCGCCTGGTCCACGCACCGGGGAAGGTGCCCTCCCCGAAAGAAGAAGCCAGCGCCACCCGACTTCGCGACGGACCGCGCCGATTCTGCACGGAGGCGGGACTCGTCGCTGCTCCACGCGCCTGGGTCCACGTTTGCGCTTCCTCGGGACACTCAACCTCCCGCGTCGCGCCCAAAACTGCACGACGCGAGGCTACCTTCGCTAGGCGGAGCGCCCGGGGGGGGGGAAGTGTCAGGAAGAAAGGCCTTCTCAGAAGGCTTGAAGTCCCCCCCTGGCCTTCTGAGAAGTTTCCTAGCCCTTCCACGAAGATACAGAAAACTTCTCCGAAGGCGCGAAGGCTTCTGACAATCCCGTCGCCTGCTGAGAAGGCTCTCTTCCCCCCTCGCGCGCCGCCGATTCGCACCCGCGCGACCTCGCGCCGCCACCCTGGCGAGGGGCAGGCCTCGTGGCCTGGGGAGCCCTGCGCTGGATACCTGGAGGAACGGTGGGCGCGGATGCTTGCCCGCCCCCCGGGGGCGGGCTGGCATCCACATCCACCGCTCCGCCGGCCGCCAGCGGCGGATGCGGACAAGTTCCGGCGGTGGATCATCTCCCCGAGCGCCCCACCCTCGGCGGGGGGAAGCGGCAACCACAATGGGAGGCGACGATGGGGGCGAATAGCCAACAGGGGGGAGCGACACGCGTATCCAAAGGCGTCGATGGCCCACATCTTCGGGGAGGCTCCCCGAGAGACACTGACGTGCAGCGCCCGCCCCTGGACTATTCGCCCCTAACTTCGGGGCCCCAAAACCGCGCGCGCCGCCCCCGACTATTCGGGGGGGACTGTTGGGGCCAGCCTGGGCTGGTCGGGGGGTTTGCGGAGGCGAGCTGGGATTGCCCGGGGGGGCTGTCTGCGCGCAACCCGAAGCCTTACCAGTCCATCGGTGAGCACGCCGCTATTCCATCGAAGCTTCGCGCCCGGCCTCCAATCTGGCCATGGAAGACAGCCGGGGGGAGATCTCAGGCCCCGGGCGCGGGCGACGTCGGCCCTGGCGCCCGCGGTCGGCAGTTCAGCTGGGCGCTCACATCCGCGACGTTGTCTGGCAGGGCAGCATGAGCCAGCTTGCCCGGTCGATCGTGGGCGCTCTAATTGGCCGAGACCGCTGCTGTGAGGCATGGAGAAACGCTGATCATCGGGAACCACGAGTTGGCCCTTCGGAAGGGCGGCGGACGGATGGGGCGAATTCCATCGGCGGCCGCCGCCAGCTCCGCGGCGGCGGCGGCCGCGCCAGGGAGCGGCGGCACCGCTGGAAGTTTGGATGGCCCTGACATTGTCGTTGCACTGTTGAACACCTGAAGCGGCGGCGGGGCAACCAGCGCGTCGGCGCGCGCGTGGCCCTGGGCCGCGGCGAGCGAGGCTGCCAACAACGAGCCGTGGACTGATCAGTATAGCCGCGAGGGCAACTCCAGACATCCCAACAAAGAATCCGGAATCCAGGGCGCCGTCTATGGGCCCGCAGTCTGCGCGACCTCCCGACTGGCCGCCGCCGCCGCCGCCCAGCGGCGACGGTGCCTCGCGCGACCTCAGCACTGAAGTGGTGCTCGCCCCCACGGGTGCCGCGCGCCATGGCGGCCCCGTCAGAGCCTCGCAGATTGCGGCGCCTACTCCTTTGCCTGGCGAGCGTTTACATGTTGCCTGTCCATCTCCACCGGGAATCTGACCTACTCGGGCATCTGAGAGCCCGATAGAGAATGCGTACTTATGGGAGCCCTTGCCTTTGCCACTGTCATTTCTGCGGGAGGTGCGGCTGTTTTTGGGTATACCAACGCACCTTGCGAGTAGAACGTTGCGCGCGTCTGCGCCACTGTCGTCTAGCAGTCTCCATTTGCCAGAACAACTGGGCATCTACCTGGGCAGGGCTGAAAACCTTGGAGCTCGGGCGCATGGTCACTGACCTCTCCGCCCGGGCCCACCTCGCGCGGCCCCGCCGCCGCAGTCGGCCCCGCGCGCGGGCGCCCGCGCGGCGGCCAGACAGGCTGCCAGCGATACCGCGGCGCTCTGCGACGGGCCGGCGGCGCGCGCCATGGCACCTCCTGTTCCGGGATGTTCGGTGGCGCTGGCAGCCCGCGGGTTGAGACTTTGAGTGCGCCGAGGGCCACGTGCGCCATTGCTGTTTTCATTGACCAGACCCGCGAATATCCCAAAAGATGGCGGCGCGCGATGAACGCTGGCGATGTCGCGCGGCGCGTGGTCCGCGATGTAGCCCGTGCGCACTAAGCATACTCGCGAGACTGTTGAACTCGGTCTCTGCGGCAGTCCATCGGTTGCCGCACGGCTGGGGCAGCGCCGCGAAATGGCCACCTGGGGCGCCGACCGCTCGGAGGAGCAGCCAGCCGCGGCCCCCCCCGAGACATCGCAATCCCACCGATGCGCGCGGCCCGGAATCGCACCGTCAAAAACCGCGGGAGCAGCGCGTCGGTGGCTTCGTCGAGTCGCCTCGAGAACTCGAGGAGTTCGCGGTTCGCACGGAGGCGCGACTCCTCGCCGAGTGGGCCGAACTGTTAGCGAGGTTCGCGATGAATGCAGTCACGGCGCCCCCTTGCCAGCCGATGACCGCGCCCCCCTCCGCCATCCCCGCGAAGCCAATGGAGAGCGCGAGCGCGCGAGCGGCCCCGCCGAGGTTGAGGATGACGGCAGCGCATTGTTGAGCGCTCCCACGTCGGTGGCTTGCAGGCTCCGAGCGAGCAGGTCCTGTGCCCAATGGCGGAAGGGACACATGGGCTCGCGCTCGGATGACCACAAGGGCAGCTGGCGGGATGCGATGACACCGTGGCCGCCGCCGACCTCTGGGCCGGCCACACCGGGCATCGTGCTGGTGAGCCAGAACAGGACGGCCACGCAGAACGCGTGGATGCTGCCCCAAAACGCCAAGATGGGGATCTTCCCCGATAAGACCTCACCACGACGATGGCTGCGCAAGCGCCTTGGGACTCGAGCCTGCGCAGGGGCGAACGCCATGTCGAAGTGCAAGACAGCCATGACGATGACGCGGTCAACCATGGTCGATGGCGAGGTCGGCGAAGCTGGCGCGTCAACTTGCATTGTTCCACTCGGGTGGTTCGATGTGCTCATGACGGCAACCGGCACTGTCGCGCGCACCGAAGCTCGGCGCAAGCCCAGGAAGGGGCCTCGCACTCATGCCCGACGCGACGCTGCGCACAGCGCCTTCGGGGTCGAGACGGGCCGAGAAACCTCGTGGAACTCCTGCGGGCGAGTCGCTCCTCATCGCGGTTGCGCCTTCTGTCGTTGCCCTCGCAGTCGGACTGGATTTCCGAAGCGAGTTGCTGGATCTTCTGCAGAACAACCACAAGCACCATTTTTTTCAATGAACGGAGGGCGGACCCGCTGAGGAGGCGAACGCAAGAGCGACTGCGCGCCCGCGCCGCGATCCGCGCGCGCGCTGTGGATCGCGAAGTGGGGCCGCCCCCGAATCCGCCACCAACTCGAGTCGCGGGGGTCGGCAGCTGCGCGAGAGAAGGCATGGCGGGAACGAGGTGTAGACGGCGGGGTTCTTACTCTTCGCGCAGTCTACACATGCGCGTCGATGCTCGGCGGGGCAAATAGCGGCGACCCCTCCTATAAAAGCGCGGGGGGGGGGGGCGAGAAGGAGAAGGAAGAAGGAGGATTAAGACAGACAGCGCCTCGGAGGGGTCGGAGGGGGAACGCGCCAAACGCTCGGCACTGAGGCGATTGCGCCATCGGAATCGAAGCCGCAGCCTCCTTGGCCTTGATCCTGGCCACAAGCGCCGCCATCCTCTGCTCGCGCCGGGGGGGGGGGGGGGGCCGGTCGCCGCAACAACTTCGGGGGGCCGTGGGCGCACAAGAGATGGAGCGAGCACTGGCCAAAGTCTCATCGAGCCGAGAAACAGGGGTGGGGCGGGCTTTCCGAACAGCTCTCGCATCCTTGGCTTCGGCCCTAAGCCGCGGCGCAAACGCCTCAAAACCTCGGCTTCTTTCTTAGCCGGCCGCTGGCACAACTTGCCTAACTTCACAGTCCCCCCACGCGACCGCTCCCCGCGCGTGAGACTCAGGGACCGTTGCCCTCCAAACTCAATCGCGCCCTCGGGCCCGACAGGCCCGCCACAGACCCCATCAACCCTTTGAAAAGAGCCTGGCCCGACACGACGACGTGAGCATGACTTCTGGGACCTTCGAGCATCTGCATAATATCACTCGGGGTGCCTTGGCACCCGTCCTGTGGGCGGGTGTTCTGACTCTGATGCAATCAAACGCTGCGCGCAACGCATGCCAGACCCTGTGCGCTGCCACCGATGCCAAGTCACCGTGCGTCTAGACTTCCTCCTAGGCTAGACAACTCCACGAGCCCACCCCATCTCATCCTTGGAGAGACGCAAGGTAGCACAGGCAACGCGGACAAATGCAGCCGCCCTCGTCTGAGCTAGTTCGACTGATGTCAAGAAACATGGATCAGCTGTGGGATGGCCAAACAGGGTAAACGTGGCACGTGCGTCAAATATCTTGCTAGCCTGGCCAAAACGGTACTCATCTCCTGTAAGCTGAGCCAAATCTTCATCTGTACGATGAGCGTTTACATGACACGCCTCTAAGAACTTGGCCCGAAGAGCTCGAACGCAAACTTTCGGACCTCAGCGAATACGCTCCGTGGAAACAACTGCCGAAAAGAGGAACTCTGGACATGCTAGAACACACTCATGAAACCAAGGCCTAACTTCGAGGGTCTATCTGCAATTTGGCCGCAGAGAGCGGCAGGGGTTTGGGGCAGGGATCCCAAGACAACCCCTCGTGCAACTGCAGACATACCATTCGACTGAGGCGGCAAGAAAGCGATGGTCCACGCCGCGCGCCGCAGGGGTCTAAGGCCCTGCTTGGTGTAGGACCCGGCCGCCGCCAGCTCGAGTGGGATACTCCCTGGAATTAGCGACGGGAATTCCTCGGGCTGCAAGTCGAGGTCTCTCCCCTCACCATCAAAAAACAAAATACACAGTTCTCATGGACGGCAAAAGGAAACTCATCGTCACGATAAGCAAGCAGACCACGCGTGAAGATGGGATCCGAGGACTCAGCACCAGCTTCGAGAAGAGGGGCAGGGAATTCAAGCTCATAGCGCGCAGCCTTGACATCAGGCCGAGTGCAGGTCCACAGGCGGTGATGCTGGGTATCTTTCTGACCGCAATCACACAAACCAGGCGTGAGATACCCGGCATCCTGGCCTCTGGCTTCAGTCCATATGGCGTCACACGCCAAGCATCGAAGTCAAACTGCTGCTGCTGAGCAAATGTTTTAAACCCAAGCAAACATCGAGTCGCGTACTACTCGAAAGTGGCGCCACAGCCAGCAGGAAGCCCAGGAGGTGGAAGAAGGGGAGGACGACGAGGAGGACGAGGCAGAGGACGGGGAGGAAGAGGACAATGAACAGGAGGTGGGGAGAAGGAAAAGGAGGAGGTAGAGGAGAAGGAGGAGAAGGAGTAGGGGAAGGGGAAGGGGAAGGAGGATGAGGAGGAGGAGCAAGAGGAGGAGGAGGAGGAGGAGGAGACAAGATGGTTTCGAGGACCCGTTCGAAGGAACTTTGAGGGGGAATGCCTTGAGCGAAGCACTTATGCTTTAATGCAGATGTTGAAAACACATTCGGTTGTCAATAGATTCGCTTATTGGGCAATTAAAAACATGTTCCAAGAGCGCTCCAAACAGATGCCTCAAAAAAGCTCTTTGCACATCCAGTTGTTCGAGGATGTCTCAGGCGAAACGCCCACTGTTGGAGGTCCGAAGATTAGGACAGCGATTTCAGCATCCCCATTATCCGAGGATTTCTCAGGCGAAACGCTCATGTTTAGCATACGGCGTCTAAGATACTACCCCCAATATCGCGATTTGGAGAGGATGTCTCAAGCGAAACGCCCTTTGGGGGAATCGGATCACAAACGGCCTCGAGTGCGCCCCCCGCGTTCCCCCTCCTAGACCTCCCCAGTTGATAAAAGACCCCTCTGGGTAATCGACGTCCATCGCGCGACTCTCTGAGTCTAAGCGCGCTTCCCGTCATCCACCAGGCTCGAATTGAGGTGCGATAGCGAGCCCTCCCCCCTCTGGAACTCCCCCAGTTGATTAACAATTTCCCTCCCGGGTCGTAACCAACGTCCATCGCGCGACTCTTCGAGTCTGATGCGCGCTTCCCGTCATCAGCCGGCGAGTTTCCCGGTGGCATCTGCACACCTTAATTAGGAGAAATGATTACCCCTGGAGCAACGGTGCACGCCAGAGGCGCTTCCCGACATCCGCCACCGTGCCTTCAGCGCGCAGTGGAGCGCCGCGAAGCTCATGCAGTTCTGAGAGGCCATGCACTTCTGATAGGCTTGTCAAGTTCGTAAGGGCCCAGGCCACGAAATCCCATCAGCCCACTGGGCGTAGGTGGGCTATACAGCTTTCTCTTCCAACCCCCTTCTTCCCCTTCGGGACCTGGAGGGGGCGGGGGTCGCGAGGCGTTGGATCGTCCAAGATGGCCCAAGATGTGCCCAGGAGGGCCTTAGAGAGCCCAAGATGACTTCCAAGATGGCCCAAGATAGCCCAAGATGGCTCAATATGGCTCCCAAGATGCTCCAAGAGGCCCCAAGACCGCTCCAAGACGGCTCAGAGTGGCCACGGAGCCTCCCCAGGAGGCCGCCAAAAGGCAAAAATCCTTTTAACACCAAATGGAAATCTATAAATTGTGCAGGAGGAGGAGGAGGAGGAGGAGGAGGAGGAGATAGGTGGAGAGAGGACGAGGAGGCGGAGGAGGAGGAGAGAGGAGAGAGTAGCTCGCTCGCGGCCCGAGGCCCCCCTGGTCCAATTCCCCTCCTGCTGTCCGCCTCACGCATGGCCTCCGCCTCGCGGGCCGGAGCGGGAGGGGCGGGGCGGGCACTCGGCGGCGCGCCGAGGGGGAAGTTCGACGTGTTCTGACGTTGTCCTCGGCTCCCACAGGTTTTCCAGCCTCGGGGTGCGCTCCTGCAGCTCCGCCTCGCCAAGCGGGCCTTCTCAGAAGGCTCCGGAGTCCTCTGGCCTTCTGAGAATTTGTCTGCGCCTTCCCCGAAGGCACAGAAAACTTTTCAGAAGGCGCGACGGCTTCTGAGAAGCCCCGCCGCCTTCTGAGAAGACCTTCTCCCCTCCTCGCTTCCCCCCCTCGCTCGCCGCCGAGAGAGCGTCCCGGGGGTTCCCAGACCCTCCCGAACGGCCGCCGTGGAGCCCCGGGCTATGGCCCGAACACGAAGACCTCCTCGGTCGGCGGCACGCCCAGGGGGGCGGTGCGAGGGGGCAGGCCTCCTCAGGCAGCGAGGCTTCCCAGAAGCCCTCCGACCTCCCGAGGCCCTCTGCGGCCTCGGGGGCTCCGAACACTTCTCGGAAGGCGGCGAGGCCAACCCGAGCCTTCTGAGGCCCACAACCTCTGGCGTCCCCCCTCGGCGATCCGCCGAGGCCTTCCTTCGGGACGAGAGAGATGCCATGATGTTTGGACGCCCGAGATGGGTATGGACAAAATGGGTACGATGCCCAACAACAAACGTTGTCCAAAACCGACAGCGGCCGCTGTTGGGCAGCCGGCCATCTGTCTCCCATGGACACCGCCCGTGGCGACACCGCCCGTGGCAACACCGCCCGTGGCAACAACCGCGCGTCCGGATCAAAGTGATAAGGATATGTGAACCCATTCTTCCCGTACGAATTCCGATCGCCCCGATGATATGGGTGGTTCGGGGTATACGTTCTGGGAGTCCTGGAGCTTCTGGCGGCCCTCGGCCTCTGGTGCCCGGCCGAGGGTCCGCTGCCGCGCGGGACATGAAGAGTACATATGGGTCCTGAAGCGCATCTTTCTCGCTGATGTCTCGCTCTTCTGACTCTGAGGAACCGGGGCGGAAGAGAGACCTCGAGGCGTCGGTGGTGGGGCATTGTCATCCCCTTGTCAAAGCCTCTACCGATCGATATGTAATATGGATTCTATCGAATTAGGATGATGCGTGCAGACATGTAGAACTACGCGCGTGCGTTCACACACACACACACACATACATATATAACCTTATACATATACATATATAGATATATGCAATGTGCAAGAAGGTGCATACACTAAACATTATACACTAGAACCGCGCGCGCTTCGCTCGCGCTTAGGTCTAATTAGGCTTCACGGTCGAACTGTAAAGATCTCTATGTGTGACCAGTCCCTCCAGGGCACCCAAGAACTACGCTAACGGCCACAATGACTTCCAAGACCTCCTGAGGCAATCCTACAGCGACCTAAGAATGGGCCAAAAAGTCGTCGTAGCCGTATACATTTATATGTATAGGTAGATGTGTGTAAATGCATGTGTATGTGTAAATGTGGATGTGTATGTATGTGTGTAGGGGGGCATATGTTAAGCTAGATCTGTACATGTACAAGTAGAAGAGTGTGTATATGTATGTGTGAATATGAATGTGTATATGTAGACGTTTAGGTACATGTATAGGTGCAGTATGTGTGTATGGTGTAATACATATATACGTATGCAAATAGATCGTCATGTATGAATGTGTATATGTGTATATGTAGGTGCATAGATATATGTATATTGTATAACGTATAGCATAGGCTGTGTATGTAAATGTATGTGTGGATGTGTGCGCACATATATATGGCTGGGTATATAGCTGTATATGTATATGCATACGTATAGCTACACACATAATTAAGGATAGGTGGATGTTTGTGTGTATGTACATGTAGATGTACCTGTATATGTACATGCATGTGCGAATGTGCATGTGAATATGTATGCATGTGTACGTTTACGGAAACATAGAAAACCATATATATATATATATGTATATGCACATGTAGATACATACATACATGCATACGTGTACGAATACGTATAAGTACGTCTATGTGTAGGAGTCAGATGTATAGGTATGCGTTTATGTGTAGGCAGCTGCAGTTCTATATGTACATGTATATGTGTATGCATAAATATATGTATGTGTATCTGCATGTGCGTCCTGGAAGCCTTGTGGGTGGCGTCGGCTTTAGATGTCAAAACACTGGTCTGTGCTTGGAGCCGCGGTGCTGTGGTCTTCAGAGCTATATTGAAACTCATCCTCCTCCTTTTGCCCCTCCTCCTCCCTTTCCTTCCTCTCTTCATACACCTCTCTCCTCCACTTCCTCCAATTCCGGACGACGCCCCCGGAGATCGGATTTCTGCAACAAAAAACAGCGAAAGGCCAGCGAAAGGTGACGACGACGACGACGACGTCCCAGGGGCGACCTGAAGTCGGATTTCTGTTGAACGGCCAGGAGGAGGTTTAGAGAGAGGTCTAGGAAAGCTCACGATGTACTTGGAAGATTGATGAAAAGGATGACGGAGGGTCAGTGGGGATTGAAGAGAGAGGCGACGGCCAAAGATGAGCCGTCAGAAGTTATCGGTGGCATAGGCGCAAGGGGAGGAGGATAGTCCAGGTGGGAGGCACGCGCAGGAAGTGGTGTGTTTCCTTCTCCGTCCCCCTCGCCCTTCTCCATTTCTTCATTATCATATATATATATATATATATGTATAGATCCTGCCTGTGTCGTTTCCTGCCGTCTGTTTTCTCAGCTATGTCCTCCTCCTCCTCCTCTCGTCCTGTTCCTCCAGTTCCTCTTTCTCCTCCTTGGACCCCTCTTAGGCTGTCTGGAGGGGGTCTTGGGAGTGTCCTAGGCTCCCCTGGGCAAGTCCCAGGGGCCTCTTGGGTCGTCTTCAAAGCCGTGAAGGCCGAAAAGTCGCATATGATAAAAATGTACGTTCGCCCGTCAGAATTCAGCGATTGCGGCCCCTTGGGGCCCTCCTGGGGGTGCTTTTGGGGGACTCTTGGGACGCCCCAGAGCATTCTTGGGCCGTCTTGGGGCCATCTTGGGCCGTCTTGGGCGAATCGGGGATTTCTTGGGGCTGTCTTGGGGCCAACTTGGCCGTCTTAGGCAGCCCTTGGGCCGTCTTGGCGCCCTCTTGGGCTGGCTCGGGGGCCTCTTGAGAACGTCTTGGGCTGTCTTGGGGAAATCTTGGAAGCCTCTTGGACCGTCTTGAAAGCCGCGAACAGCGTACGTATTCCCATCGGAATTGAATGATTTAGGCCTCTCGGGTCCCCCTTAGGAGTGCTCTGGGGGTCATCCTGGGCCGCA